GATTTAAAAACACCAAAAAATAAGAAGGCCACAACCACACCACAGACTTTCCCTAAAGCCAATAAGAAGGTAAGACCTGCACAAAGCTAGAATTGAATTAAAGGGAACTGAAATAAGCTGACTGAAACATTTTGTTTTCCAGTCTACCAACGTACCCTTCCGTAGAATAAAAGACAACGAAGTAAATGTGGACCCGCGCCTTGCAGACAATTCGTTTGATGCAAAGGTGAATTATTTAATCATAATAATCATTTTTACAGGATTACTGAGCATTATAGTTGTTGAGGTGGCAGATAAACAATCTTTTTTTTAAAAAAATCTCTATAAAATGTTCTATTTCAGATGGGAGCCAATGGAGACTGGGGCCAGAAAGCTAACGATGTGCTCAAGTTCACAAAAGGCAAATCATTCCGCCACGAAAAGACAAAGAAGAAAAGAGGAAGCTACCGTGGGGGAGCCATCTCCACTTCAGTCAACTCCATTAAGTTTGACAGCGACTGAGAAAGTCCACAACCTCCCATTTCAACTGTACTGTACCGGACAGATCAGGAATACAAGTTGTCTGCTCAAACCACCCTCCTGTAAACAGTCTCTCCAGCAGTAGCAGCAGCACACTAACAGAAGATGGTCCATCACACTGAACTGGCCCTTTGATTCGACTTTGCTTTAGTCTGTAATGGAGTTTACATTTAGCAGAGCTGTGGCAGCAGGGAAATGTGCTCCCAACTGTGACATCACTTATAGCCACTAGGTGGCTGCAGCCACTGGCTAATGGAGAAAATGTTTGGCTCTTTCTGCTTGTTTTCACAACCTCCTTTCTTCTTAAATGTTTGTAACATTAAGCAATCTTCTTGTCTAGGTATGATCGAAATTAATCCATCTATACATGTTCTTCATTTTCAAATTTGTTTTTTGTTTAATAGATTACATGGATTCTTGATGTTTGTCCCTTCTTTTTTTTTTTTTTTTTGTCCACATTTAAATGTGAAGAGGTTTGGGGCTTTTTCTTAACATCACAAGAAAACCTATCAAGTAGAAATTTTATACTGTATTTATTATGTTTTATTCCACTTCAATCTTTAAGGGCCTCTCATGGTCGTTTCTCTGTTCAAGGATTTTTTTTTCTTTGGATCCGTTCCCTTTGTTAGGAAGTCCTTTCAGTCCCTCCCTGTACTGTTCAGTGGTATTAAGTATGTAATTCGAACATAGCCATGCTTGTTTCAGTTATTTGATTATCATATGAGATCCTGTGTACCACTGTCTTTTTTTTTCTTTTACACCTCAAATCTGTAAATAAAGACTAAACAATATACTGGTGATGATTTCATGGACAGTTCACTCACTGTTTGCTCAGCTGACAGTTTTACATGTGCACAATTGGGGAGGAACTCCAATTTTTAGTATCTGCACACACCAAGTTGTTGCGTGTGTGCTGATATTGTTGTTGGCAAATTAACAGTCTAGAAAGTACATATTTTTTTAAACTTTGTTAACCCTTTAAACCCTGAACTGTGGAATAACAGCCAGAAAAAAATATTTTCTTTTTAAATTGAGTGCTTATTAAACCTTAATGAAATAAATTAATTTGCATATGTTTACATTTGTATCCTATTTGCTACATCAGGCTTTATTTTTTGCAACTTATTCTTTATAAATGTACTTTGCAATTGCCACTAGGTGGCAGTGGAGTAGCACTGCCCTCAGCATGACGTTTAGTCAACGTATGTAAACTGTCACCCGATTCCTCGGGGCAGTTTGTGTCCAGACAGCTCATTTCCTGTTTGTTTTTTTTCATCTGTTGAACACAGATGCATAAGTCTGTCATCTCAAATGAACTGAGGCCTGTTAGATCAGCATGTGCGGCTAAAGGGATATTCCAGCAATTTAGCACCACTCTGAAAACAGAGATAAAGACTCAGTTCTACACATCATGTACTGTCCATGCTTAGATTTCAGGTTTTATACCAGATGATCAGGGATTTTTTTTCTCAATTAATAAAAAAAACAACCAGTGGAGATGTTGGGTTTTTTTTTGTGTGTTTATTTTTCTTTTCTTTATTTTTTAAGCACTTATCTAGATTGTAGGCAAGGGTGGGGACAAGCCTATCCCAGCTGTCATAAAGTGAAAAGGTGCGCTACACCCAGGACAGGTCACCAGTGTCACAGTGCTTTGGGAGGAAACCAGAACAGGCACAAACTCCACACAGAGAAGCTTGAAACTACCAGGTTTCAACCAGAAAATTCCTTGCTGTGAGGCTAACCACTGCTCCACTACACCACCTAAATCTTCCCTGATAGGTTAGCATGAATAAGTTCAGTATTACTGTACTTCATCTGGGTTGGTATGCATGAAAAATTCTCAACTGAAATGTTTATCAATATATTGTTACAATGTAATCACATTTTCCTGTTAAAGAAACTCAGACATGACCTCACCTGCATACAAGCAGGTTTCCCTCTGGGACATGAAACTATACATTTATCTGTATTTTACAGTGAACTTTACATGAACAGCTGAGTGGCCGTGTTGGCAGTAAAAACTTGTTCTTGACAGCAGTGGCTGTGAAAAATGTCTGGTTTGCATCAGAAAATGACTGAATATTTAATCTTTCCCCGTAAAACTCTACAAACAGCCTTTGGTGAAAAGTGGATTAATCGCAGTGGATTGGATTGGCAGATATTACTGTAGTCAGTGACTGTTTAAATTATTTTTACATTTTATCCTCTTAACTCCTTATGCTCAAGTGGGAAAAGTGATTGCGAGACTAAATAATTTGCAGCCGACTAGCTGATCTCTTATTCTTATTGCAGAGTATATTTTTTCATTAACTCATAATAATATCTGGCAGATAGGAAACCGCATATGACCAAATGAATAATATACTCTCTGGTTTCAGTGCAAAAAGCTTCAGGCTTAGACTGAATGAACAGCGCACACCCCGTGCATACAGCTCATATGTACGCACAAGGAGGAAATACTACATGAACTCAATGCACAAAAAGAGCTGTTGACTTATGATCGAGGTCTGCAGTCACTCCAAATATAGCCTCCCTTGCAAGCCTGGCAACTGCTAACCACTGAGCAATGCTCCAGCGCTCATCAAGCAGAGAAATCTGACAGAGCGTGCTTGCTCGAGGTTTTACATGGATGAACTGTTGAGAAGTGGTTACTGTAGAACGGTTACTGGGCAGTTTTTGAGCACGGATGTAGCTGCTGTTGCACTTGGAGGCTCTGTGCAGCAGCAGTGGGTCAGGAGGTCCTTCAGGGAGTTTTAAAAAGTAAAAGGAAATAGTGTTTTGCTTTGCAGGTTTTAAAGCTCATCATTTGTTGATTTGGGATAAGTGCTTTGAAATTGAATAATTAGGAAAAGGCAGGCCGGCCACAGCTTTTAAAATGTCTTATTTAGAATTTCAACATTTCTTCGGACTGTTGGGCAAACATGATCTTCAGCTGTATGGGGAAGGAATTACCACAGGCCTTCTTATGGGGAAGGAAGTGCTGCAGAGCAAAACAGCACAGAAGACAGAATCTGTACATTTCTTTTTGGGTCTACTTTGCAAGCCCAGAAAATCAATAAATAATTTGATTGAATGAAAAAAAAGAAAGTTTCACAAAGCTGGATATGAGACTCTCCTAGTTAATGTTAAAAGCTGGCATAATGGAGATGCATGACTTTCACTGGACAGCCATTCTATGATTAAAGCAGAATGTAAGTGATGCAATGTTAAAAGAAAAATAATTTTCCACTTCTGAGCTATTGAAATGCCAGACAGAAACTCTGAAAAGACCATTGGTGAGGAATACTGATGAGAGGTCCACGTACCTGATCTCCTGCCTAGCAATCACTCCCAAGCACCACTTCCGTCTGTCAGTCGTATTATGTGCGGCAGAGCGAGCCAGCTCGTTCGGGTAAATTGCAGCAGTGTGTGCACGAAGGGCTGCAGGACAATCTTTTAATGGGCAGCGGAGGCTGAGGACTGCCCATCCTGTCCATTTCAATTAGACAAAAATGCTGACTACTCTTGCGCATAGACACACACAGACACACAATAATTTTCTCCGTCTGGAATGAAGTCAAAGCCAGGGGTTACAATCAGCCATGCGTTTTTGCTTGAAAAATCATTACACTTGACAAATGACTTCCCAGGTGCTCCAACAAATAGTCGTGCTAATCCCCCCCACTGTGCTGTCAAAGAGGGAAAATGGGAACGTGGCAGGACAACAACTTACAAGTCAAGCAGAACTCTGTTATAAAAAATAAAAAGCTTCATCACCATTACATTATTGTAGCATCTTTAATAGAGTTCTTCTTTTAACATCTGTCGTATATAAAGTGTTTCCATAGGGAATAATAATGCTAAGAACACAGGGTAAGACGGCATACTTAATCTTTTATGGGACATTATAGGAATAAAGATGCAGACTGAGTGAAGAGGTGCTAACGACATTACAGACTTCTGCTTTGTCCCACCAAAGAAATATCCAGGCTATGTTAACAGCGTAGAACAGATATACTGCAGCCTTTATAGAGCTGAAGGTCAAACTAGATTGATTCATCTTTTAGTCTTGCCCTTTTGCTGTAAAATGCATTAAATACAGAAGAGCAAAGTGGTGTTTTTAGCATTTGATAAACAGATGCACCGTTCTGCATTCCTTTATAAAATATGGAAAAAAAAAATCAAACATACAAACTTTGTATATTTTCAAACATACAAATACCCATGATGCCTCAGGCAGGCACACTAGAGAAGCCTTTCAGGACACAGTGCACTGCGTCAGGATGCTTCAGCCACAATACTGATAGCTGGAACTACAGCAACATGCGTTAATGATTGATGATGAGCTGCAGTCTTAATTGTCTATTAAACTTCTTAAAACCAAGCAAGACTGCCTTTGATGATATTGGTAATGTTGCCCTATACACCTGCTGTCTTCCGCTCTCAATTGCAACTGGTCTCCTGTGACATTATGTCTTCGGTGTGGCAAAATCCCAGGCGGTATCCTGGGCACACTTCCACATGGCACGCACAAGCCGAGTGAAGCCCATGTCTTTGGGTTTCTCCAGCCCACGCATGAGCCGCTGCTTCATGATGGCTATGAACTCCTTATTACTAAGCTCCCCATTCCCTAAGGAAGACAGACAGAGAAGGAGAGAAGGGGGAGAGGGGTGATGGACAGGGGAGCGGGATGATGAAATAATAAAGGAAGAGTAAGTAAGACGAAGGAGCTGACTTCCATTTATTGATGATTTCTACCTCCGGAGGCTTTGTGTTTCATAAATATTTAGAGCAGAGAGATATGATGAGACTGTCAGCTACTTACCATCACAATCAAAGAGCGCGAACACCACGTCGCACACGTGATCCGACAGCTCCACTTTTGCTACGGTGCGTGCCACCTGCTTCATGGTGACTGAGAGACAGAGGGAGGAAAGATACACAGATAAAAAGATTCACTGTGAGAGCAACACAGGCACAGACTCACACATGTCAGCACATCAGCGGTGCAAGTGGAGAACAGTGTGTGCAAATCAGACTGCTCGGATCAACAAAAAGGGTTTCAATTCGCTGGGGAGGCTATCGGATGGACACATGAGAGAAAGAAGGGGCTGAGAGGAGAAGAAAGAGCGGACCGCTACAGGAAATCCAGCTGGGAATGGAACTGGACTGAGGAAAATATGGAGGATGTAAGTTTAATCAGGATTTACCAATAGTCACAAATGGAGGAGGGCAGGTATGAAAGACGAGTGGGGGTGAACAAATAAAACGTGACAAAAATTTCCCTGCAAATGGTGAGAGAAAAAGATGAGCCAGCACGCCATCAAGAACCTCATTACTGGCCTTCTTTTATATATTCAACAAAGCCATTGTGCAGATCCAGATCACACACCCACACATGAGAAACTGTTCTGAAAGGGTGTGAAATCAGTGGACTTGAGTGCAAGATGAAAGCAAAGGAAAAGAGAGTAACAAAGACATTAAAAAGCTCAGCTGAGACACGAGCTGCTTCGGGCTCGAAGAGGAGAAAAGCGGTTTCAGTTCATGGACGGCAGCAGGGAGCAGAGAGTTCGCAGACATGTGTCTGCCAGCTCGCTGTGAACCCACAGCATCATCCCAAAGCCGCTTTACGCAAAGTCAAAAACACACTGATACACATACGCGGTTTGTTACTGTGCAGAAATGCCACTGAAACCAAATGCCTGAAAAAGCACCTCGGGGTAGACCCTTCGCTCCCTTAACACAGCAGCTGCTTCATAAATGAATCAGAACAAATGGATGCACAGACAGAAAACATATGGAGGTCTATTGATGGACTGAATCACTGCAACAAATGAAGGAAACAGACTCCTCAAACAACTGCCACAGGTCTCATCTGCCGCTTTTGTTCTCACATTAAAAAGATTTTCATTGTCAGCTTCTGACAAATGAATTAAGTAGTAATGAAAGTGCTGAGCCACATAAAGACAGTACGAGTGATTTAATGAATTTAAACTTTGTAATTAGTTTTCACCAGTAAGCACTGAAAATAAATTCTTCAGCACTGAGAACAGCATAACCACAGTGAACTCTGTGGGCGATTTTTAAAGTCTTAATATGTGAGATCTTTCAGGGTTTTTTCTCCTAACTAAACCCCTTTGTGACGCTTTTTATGTGGATGAGTTAACCAACTTTTCAAAGTGAAGAACTACTACTGTGCGGT